TCTATTCATATGACAGCTCTTATTTCTCTAGGATATATTCCAGGGAAGGGATAGCTGGAGTCTATGGTATTTGTATTTCTAGCTTTCTAAGGAAGTGCCATATCATTTTCCAAAATGGTTGTACCATTTTGCATTCCCACCAGCAGTGTATAAAAGTTCCAATCTCCCCACAGTCTCTCCAACATTTGTTATTTTCTGTTTTTTTGATTCGTGCCAGTCATGTCGAAGTGAGATGGTATCTCATTGTGGATTTGATTTGCATTTCTCTAATGGCTAGTGATCATGAACATTTCCCCCTGTGTCTCTTAGCCACTTATATATCTTCTTTGATGAAGTGTCTGTTCATTTCCTTTGCCCATTTTTTAGTTGAATTATTTGTCTTTTTGTTGTAGAGGTGTTGGGGTTTCCTGTAGATTTTAGAGATTAGACTTCGTCGGATTTGTCATGGCCAAATTTTTTTTCCCAGTCTGTAGGTTCTCTTTTTACTCTTTTGGTGAAATCTTTTGATGAGCGTAAGTGTCTGATTTTTGGAAGATCCCAGTTATCTAGCTTATCTCCTGGAGTTTGTATGTTGTTAGTTAATGCCGTGTATTACGGTGTCTAGCGTTGATCCTGTTTTTTCTCCTATGATCTTTATAGTTTTTGGTTTTATATTAGGTCTTTGATCCATTTTGAATTAGTTTTTGTGTATAGTGTGAGGTATGAGGCCTGTTTCTTTTTTTTGCAGATGGACATCCAGTTTTGCCAGCACCATTTGTTAAAAAGACGGTCTTTTCCCCATTTGATGGACTTTGGGCCCTTGTTGAAGATCAGGTGACCGTAGGTGGATGGATTTACATCTGGTTTCTCGATTCTGTTCCATTGGTCAATGTATCCGTCATTGTACCAGTACCAGGCTGTTTTGACTACCGTAGCTGTAGAGTAGGTTCTGAGGTCAGGTAGTGTGAGTCCTCCTACTTTATTCTTCTTCAGTAGTACTTTACTTATCCAAGGCCTCTTCCCTTTCCATATAAAGTTAATGATTGTTTTTTCCATCTCTTGAAAGAATGTTGGTATTTTAATTGGGATTGCATTGTATTTGTAGATTGCTTTCGGTAGAATTGTCATTTTCACAATGTTGTGTCTACCTATGCATGAGTATAGTTTGTTTTTCCGTTTATGTAGATCTCTTTTGGTTCCTTGCAGTAGTGTTCTGTAGTTTTCTTTGTATAGGTCATTTATATCCCTGGTTAGATTTGTTCCTAAGTATTTTATTTTTTAGATACCATTATAAATGGTGTTGTTTTCCTGATTTCCTTTTCGGCCTTTCTTTTTATTGGTGTATAGGAATCCAACGGATTTTTGTATGTTTATCTTGTATTCTGCTACTCTGTTAGTGCCAGTAGTTTTCTCCTGGAGTCTTTTGGGTTCTCTGTGTATAGTATCCTATCATCCACAAATAAGGACAGTTTCCTTCTTCCTTACCAATTTGGATGCCCTTTATTTCTTTTTCTTGCCTTATTACTCTAGCTAGGACTTCCAGCACAATGTTAAATAGAAGTGATGATAAAGGGCAGTCTTGGCTTGTTCCTGTTCTCAAGGGGAATGATTTCAGCCTCTCTCCATTAAGAATGATGTTGGCTGTTGGTTTTGTATAGGTGCCCATTATTACGTTGAGGAATTTCCCTTCTAGACCTATTTTATTGAGAGTTTTTATCAGAAATGGGTATTGGACTTTGTCAAATGCCTTTTCTGCGTCGATTGAGATGATCATGTGATTCTTTTCTCTTATTTATATGGTGGATTACGTTGATTGATTTTCTAATGTTGAACCATCCTTGCATGCCTGGTATGAATCCTACTTGGTCATGGTGTATTATTTTTTTGATATGATGCTGAATTCTATTGGCTACAATTTTGTTGAGAATGTTTGCATTTATATTCATGAGAGATACTGGTCTGTAATTTTCTTTTTTGTCGTGTCTTTTCCTGGTTTTGGTATCAGGGTTATGCTGGCTTCATAGAATGAATTGGGAAGTATACCTTCCTTTTCTATGTTCTGAAATAGTTTGAGTAGTACTGGTGTAGGCTCTTCTCTGAATGTTTGGTAGAATTCTCCAGTGAAGCCATCTGGGCCAGGACTTTTTTCTGTTGGGAATTTTTTTAATTACCTTTTCAGTCTCTTCTCTTGTTATGTGTCTGTTCAGATTTTCAACGTCAATTTATGACATTTTGGGTAGGTAGTGTGTTTCTAGAAACTGGTCTATTTCCTCTAGATTTTCAAATGTATTGGAGTATAGTTTTTCATAGTACTCTGTTATGATCCTTTTTATTTCAGTTGGATCTGTTGTAATGTCCCTCGTTTCATTTCTTATTTGGGTTATTGCGTCCTCTCCTGTTTTTCTTTTGTGAATTTGGCTAGTGGTTTGTTGATTTTGTTGATCCTTTCAGAGAAGCAACTTTTGGTTTTGTTGATTCTTTCTGTTGTTTTTCTGTTCTCTATTTCATTTATTTTGCTCTGATCTTTATTATTTCCTTTCTTCTGATGCCTGTAGGCTTCTTTTACTGTTCTCTTTCTGTTTGTTTGAGTTTTGTAGCTAATGTTTTGATTTTGCCCCTTTCTTCTTTTTTGATGTGTACATCTATTGATATAAATTGAACTCTGAGCACTTGGTTTGCTGTGTCCCAAAGGTTTTGGTAAGATGTGTTTTCATTTTTGTTTAATTCTAGGAATTTTTTTATTCCGTCTTTGATTTCTTCTATTACCCAGTGGTTTTTAAGCAGAGTGTTATTTAGTTTCCATGTAGTTGATTTTTTTCCTTGCTCTTCCTTTCGTTAATTTCTACTTTGTTGGGGTTGTGATCAGAGAAGGTATTTTATATTATCTCAATGTTTTGGATTTTTTTGAGGGTTGCTTTGTGGCCTAAGATGTAGTCTATTCCGGAGCACGTGCCATGTACGTTTGAAAAGAATATGTAGTTTGCAGTTGTTGGGTTGAGTGTTCTATATATGTCTATGAGTTCAAGTTGGCTGATTGTGGCCTTAGATCGTCTGTATCTTTGTTGAGTTTTTTTCTAGATGTTCTGCCCTTACCGAGAGTGGTGTGTTGAAGTCTCCTACTATTATAGTAGAACTGTCAGTTTATTTTAGATGCATACTGGAACCATCCTGTCCTGTTTTTTTGTATGTGTTGATATTGTCTACTGTCTTTGGGACATTCAGTAGTTATTTTCTTCGTTTATTGATTGTAAATTTGTTTGTTTCGTCCTGGTTTTTTGTTTTATTTGGTTATGTTTGAGCAGGCAGGCTGTGCGTTCTTTGTCGTTTGCTTATCTGTGGATAGGATATTTTTCACCTCCTTGTTGAATGGGCAGGGCCAGTTGCTCAGCTGTGGTGCAGCAGGGTGGGTCCTGCTGAAGGGGAGGGACTGGAATGTGTTGTTTGTTGCATGTACTAGGGCTGACAAGGTAAGCTGGGGGTCAGTGCAGGGCAGGTTCCAGTAGGCTGTACCTCTGCTCCTCAGGAGTGCAATGTTCAGCACACAGTGCAAATAGGAGGGCGGGGGAAGGGGAGTTTGTGCTGTGTGGAGCTAGGTAAGTTTGGGAAAGAAGAGAGAGAGGAGAGAGAAACAGGAGCCAAAAAAAAAAAGAAGTGCTGAGGGAGCCTGCAGTTGGAGTGGAGAGACGAAAACTGAGAAATGAAGAAAAACAAAAAGGAAAAGAAAAAAGAAAGAAAAATACTCCCAGGTATCCCACTAACGCGGCTGCACAGACCAGGGAAGCAGCTCCTAAGCCACGCAGTACAGCCTGGCCAGAAGGGGTGAAGATGATACCCCGTGCCAAGTATTTAGGAGACAGGAAAAGAAGGTAAGTAGAAGGAAATGAGAAACCAAGAAACGAAGAAAAATAAAAAGGAAAAAAGAATGAGGAAACAAACAAAAAAGAAAAACAGAACAAAAAAACAGAAAAAGAAGGAAACAAACAAAAAAAACCCAGTGATCCCACCAGCATGGCGGCGAGGACCAGGGAAGTAGTTCCCCAGCGGCTCTTCACAGCCTGCCAAGAAGCAAAGATGGCACATGGAGTCAAATGTTTGAGAGAAAGGAGGAGGAGGAAGTGAAAGGCAAGGAAGATACCAAAAGAGGCCAAAAAAAGCAACACAAGCAACGAAGAAATTGTACTGAAGATGCTGGCTGGTTTGGGTGGGGTGAATCCACATGGCACAGAACAGAACTGGCACCTGCCATGCCATGGTCATGGCCTGCTGGGAAGCAGCGGACTGGCATGCCAGGAAGCAGCGGATCAGCCAGCCAGGAAGCAGCAAAGGCTGAGCAGGGGGAGGTAGGGTGGGAGCTGGGAAAGTGTATATCACTGGTTACTGATTGCTTCATCTCCTGCTGGGAACTCCGTGAATCTGCTTTCCCATACTTTCCTGTCCGCCAATATCTGACAGGAGTCCAAGATGGTGGATCTGTGCTGTGTTAGCTGATGGGGACCTCCGCTCATAATTCTCCTCACTCTCTGTTCTCTTACTCTGTTCGGTCCTTGGTTGTGTTCTTTATCTCTTCATTTGACCCTTAGGGTTCCAGGATTGATGTTTATTTCTGTTTTACTTAGTTTTTCAGATCTTTGCTGTGGAGGGACGGCATGGTGCTTCTGTCTATAGCGCCATGTTGGCCAATATATCAAAACAGAGCATAATTTTAAAGCAAGATGTTTATGTTTTAAATACAAATATTGAAAGAGATTGTTTATATTTTATCAGATTCTCAGGAATTCTTTAGATCTTCTGTTTTACTACTGCGGTTGTTTTCTAGGCTAAGTGAATCAGTAAAAATAAAAAAATAGAGTTGGCAGACTTTAAACATTTTTAATTTTATGTAGTTATTTAAAAATTAAGTTCTTTTTATGAATTGTAATTATTAAACTATAACAAAAAATTTAAGCTAATATGTTACAGTTTATTTCATGATTGATTTCACGACAGGTAAACTAAAGACTGCTGTTTGCGTTTTGGTTTAGGATATTTTTGACAGCGATTGGTACACCTCTCGAAATCTAATCGGAGGCGCTGACATCATTGTGATAAAATACAATGTAAATGACAAGTTTTCATTCCACGAAGTGAAGGATAATTATATTCCGGTGATAAAAAGAGCATTAAATTCAGTTCCAGTAATCATTGCTGCCATTGGTACAAGACAAAATGGTGAGTATTTAATTTTCTGTATTATAATGAGAGTGCAGGCACCATATTAATAGAGCTAAGTTTATCGATGAATACAGATTTAAAAAAAAAATGTGAGTTCAAATGCCAGCTGCTATCTCTCTATCATTAGATAGACTAATGAAGCATCAAAGTAGAGTATCTCAAACTTCTGTCGTTCTGATGGATACAAATCTGTCTTCTAAACTGCTCATCCACAGTAGCGAAGAAAGTCAGTAATTGTGTTCATTTGACATATGAGAGGTAGTAGGCTGCCATAGCCCTGGAAAACTGTTCTTTGGCAATCTAAAGATCTATCCAAGTAGGAAGGATAGATTGTACACATAAGGATATGGGCTTGGGAGCAGGACTTTAAGATAATCAATGAGCTGAATACACTGACAACATCACTTGAGAGAGGTTTACTCCAGGACTGGTAGATTCATTATTTGTTGCTGTGCAGATAATTGTCAGATATCTCAGGGTCAGTTCAGGATTCACTTTGATTTGGTGGTATTTTACAGATCTTCAGATCTTCTTAGTGATATTTTTCTCACTAAAGCTGTCTTTAAAATTTTAGGTTTTTTTTTTTTTATTGAGGTATAGCAAGGTCAGGTACATAAGTTCACTGATCTTAGAGTTCAGCTTACTGCATTTTTATGTATGTACACATCCTTGCCACTGTCACCCAGGTCAAGATATAGAACATTTCCTGTCCCTTTCCAGGTAATAAGCCCCCTCCCCAAAGGTTACTGCTATTCTGACTTCTAACACGATAGATTAATTTCTTAAACTTATTACCAATGCAGTTACATAGTATGTAGTGTTTTGTGTGTGGCTGATTTCACTTAGCATAATGCTTTTGAGATTCATCCATGTTGTCTATAATCTGTAGTTCGTTCTCATTGCTGTGTAATATTCCATTGTGTGAATGTGCCACAAGTGGCTTCCTTATTGCCATTCTCCTTTTGATGAGTGTTTGTGTTGTTACCTTAGGACTGGGTCATAGGATAGCATCTGTTTAGCGTTAGTAGATACCTGTAAAGTAGGCTTGACCCTCCCTTGACCCCACATCCCCACTACTTCCCTATCTTTATTTTGTTCTGGCCTTGATTCTTGAAAGAGGCACTCACACTTCCTGAGTCTGCTTCCTGACTTCCCATTCATTCTTCAGTCCTCTGTGGTCTGACTTCCCCTTTCACAATTATACTGAGTTTTCTCTTTCCAATTATATCCTTATTGCCAGATTTAATATACTTTAATGTCTATTCTGTCTTTGAGATTATTCAAACACAACTCTCCCTTCACTTAATAAAGCTACTGTGTTTTTCTTTCCTGGTTCTTCTCCTTCTGGGTCTCCCCCTCTCCACACCATACGTTGTGTAGTAGTTTCCCAGAATTCCTTCCATCCTTTGGCTTCATCTCGTCTGCTCTTTACCCGGACCAGGAGCCCTCTAATCTGTTGCCCTGGCGTCCCCTGTATTTTCACTGATGATGGTCCAGTCTCTTTCTCTAGCTCCAGTCTCACTTTTGATCTGTATGTTCACAGATATCTTCTTTTTTCCAAATTCCCTGTCCTGGTAAATGATGCCAAAGCTACTCATCTACCCAAGCCAGAATCATGTAGACCTCACTTTCTCTCCCATTTCCCACATTCAGTTGACTATGAGGCTGTTTTGATTTTGCATGTTAAGTAAATCTCAGAGTCACCACTTTCACTTCATCTCTACTGGACTTCGGATCCTAGTCATTTAATTATCTGTAGTGGCCTTATTTGGTTTCCTAAGGAGGCAGTTTCAGATTTTGTAGAAACTAAAACTTATACAATTTGGGAGATCCTTTGTAAGGAAAGAACTCACAAAACTACAAAACATATATGTACAAAAGTGAATATTTAGGGTAAGAAAAGCACAACAAATTACAGATCTAAAAAAGCTGTCAAACATCCAAACATTTTCCAAAATAACATGAAGTTTTTACTGTTTAACAGCCTGATACTTCTTTAACTTTTCTTCCTATAGTTTTTGGGCTACGTACTCTTTGGTGAAAATTTCCCTTTTAATTTGTGAGTGTTGTTTGTATGTTCGTTCTCTTTCTCTCTCTCGCTCCCTCTCTTCCTCTCTCCCACCCTCACTCCCTTTCATCATTTCTAGGATTTGGCAGGGAAGGGAGATCCCAGTGTGAACATAGAGTGCCATCTTGAACTTGGAAGTGAATATGATCCCATCCAGGACTCTGCAAGTGTTACACCCTCTGATTGGAGTGCCCTCTGCACAGCCCCCACCATATCTGCATACCAAATTCATGCTCATCCTTTAAATCATTACCTTTTCTGTGAAATGTTTCATAACCTCTCAGGCAGAGTTAATTTTCTCTCCTCGGTTCCCATAGTGACTTTGTACACTTTTATTATAATACTTATTATAATTGTTTGCAGTCATGTCTGTCTTGCTCAGATGACTGAGGTTTTCTTACCTTTGTATCTTTATATCCCTTAGTGCTCCATGTGTAGTGAGTGCTCAGTAAACATTTGTTCAATGAGTGAATGAATGGTTTTATAAATGATTTAAATAAGTGAAAAACTCAGTTTCATTAACAGCTTGAAATTGATTTACCATACACAGTGTGATTACAAAGTAATCACAAAGCTAAATCTGGCTCTTGAACTCCACATTTACTGAGAGTCTCCCACCCTCCCTGCCCCCCATTACATGTAACTGTGCTTGGTGCTGTCTTTGTAATTCCTCTCTTGGTATTCATTTTATAATTAGTTCAGCAAAGACAATCTTATCTCTTTCCTTTGTTACCAGCAAAGACAATCTTATCTCTTTCCTTTGTTACGCATTGTTTTTGACAAGCTTGACTGTGTGTGCCTTCTTCATCAGGTTTGGCTCTGAATAAATTTTTGGCTTTTAGAAAATATCGAATCTGTTTTTAAAGGGGGAATTTTTTTTTTCCCCCCCAGAACATGTCTGGGCTGCATTCATAGCCTTAAGCTCCTGAAGACGGGAATCATTTCTTGTTCTTTCTGAAGCTCTGATAGGGGAGCCTAGTGCATTGCTAGGAAGAGAATACTTGAAAAGGATTTCTCAAGCTATTTTAAACAAAGTAACTTTGTAAAAACCACACTACATGTTAAAGCAACTACTTTGAAAGAGATGCCCTTCCATTGAATGCCAGAGTTACATTTTGTTTGCCTTTTTTTAAGAGACATTTTATTATAGTTTAAAAGTAACATAGTAGAAAAAAGACTGGGTATTGATTCACAAAGTAGATATGACCCTGAGATAGAACCAGAAGAGTGAGCTCCTGAAGAAGGCACCACAATTTAATTAAAGTTATTGTGTGTCTTCTGATTGTTCCTGATAGAATGCTCTAACTAGCTTAATTTAATCCATAAATGTTTTGTTGGTTCTCTTGCTGTTCAAGTCAGACTTTTTCTTAGAATCTTAAATTATATAGCTGATTGGTGTAGAAGAATACAGGAATGGTTCAGAGGAGAATCGCACAACTAATTAGGAACGAAAACCTATGAAGAATGTTTTCAGAAAGAAAATTTTAGAATCCAGATAAAAGTTTACTAAGTGGCAATTAATTTACAGGGTAATAGTGTTATAATGACTAGGCATTTTTTTCTTTTTGGTGAGTGTGAACAAAAAGAAATGCCTTCAGTGATAGAAGTTAGATACAAAAGGAGTAGCTTTCTAGGGTAGTATATCAATAAGGTGCCTATAGCTACATGCAGTGGAAAAACCCTACTCAGCTAGCTTAAACCTGCCCGAAATTAGTTGTGTTTTTACCTCAAATCATGATTGTTTGTTTAAAATTATTTCACATTCTATTCATTTAACTTTTCACTTGAAACACTACCAACTTTCATATATTTTTGTCCAGAAATAAAGTTTGATAGGATGATCTGCCTACCCACCCCATTCCATCAGCATAAGGAGAGCTTTGTAAACATAAGAAAGCCTCAGTCTTCAGATTTTCTTTCAGAAATCAAAGGCACTGTTTATGAAGGCTTTGTAAAGAGTGTGAATACCAACATGTTATTTTTCAAGATAGGCTAAATTCTTTCTGAAAACTTTATTTGTCCCAAACCTAAAATGATCTTAGGAATTTTTGTAAAGGAAAAACTCAGGTTAGACTTTATGGCATAACTTAGGGAACTCAAGTTTAATTTTTAAATCACCATATCTTTGTCATCAGTAATTGTTTACCCAGACTAAAGTTTCATCTTATTTATTGATATCACAGTTCTGTTGTTGTTTCTCTATCTCTAATTCACAGTGAGACTTGGACAAATCACTTAACCTCTTGAGCTTCAGTTTCTCCTCTGTAAAATGACGATGTGAATACATGGTTTCTCAGTTCTAAAATGCTTTTTATGATGCTAAAATTATGCAGGGCGTGTGTGCATGTGCGCGTGTGCATGCACATGTGTGCACATACCCACATGTTACATACATAGTGTGCAAATGCACTAAATATCCTTAGTATGCACCTTATATGTACATATATGTGCTCCATCTATATACAGTTCATTGGTAGAAAATGTGTGGTGGATCTTGTGGGAAGCTGTCCAAATGCCCCTTCGGGGCCACTGTGCTTACATCTTTACTCGACTTGTTGGCTGCTGACCGCTCACTGTTGACTGGGTTTCCTTTTCAGGACTTGCCCTTTGTGGAAGGAAGCTGCCTTGCCCAAGGTTATGCCCCCTCCTCATCCCATTACTGGTTGATTTAGGAGTACAAAGACCCAACCTTCTTTCCCCAAATGGAGAATTACTCTAAAGGACCATCCAACCTCCAGAGTCCCCTGTAGGATTGGCTGAGGTCTCTGTTGCTGCTTCATTGCAGCTCAGCTTTTTCTCTGCCCAGTCCCACTTCTGTCACCCCTAAGAAGAGCTGTTCCCTGGATCACCCCATACCTTCCTCGTTCTCCCACACACAAATCTCCGTCTCAGTATCTGCCTCCCAGGGAAGCAGCCTACCACAACATGCATTCCCCTCTTTTAGGAACATGAATTACCCTCTCTTAACTTGGTTACCTTTAGAGCAGTGCACATCGAGTGTTGTGGTCATGAAACAAAACAAAGCTAACTGATGCCTGTGGAGTTGAACATACATTTTTAGCCTTATTAAAGAGTGTTCTTACAGATAGGTTAATCTAGCACAATCGAAGCCATGAATGTATACATGGTACAACCATGAATATTGGGGCAGTTCACATTTTGAGTGAATAATTTTTATTCCTCCTGTTTTTATATTTTTTAATGTTAAGGAAAAAGATAGTGATTGAATTTGGTTTTGCAGTTGAATGTTTTAGAATCTAATTTAAATGTCTGGATTAATAAGAATGTACCTTATATGAAATTTATGAAGAGAGTGGCAATTTGTAGCCTTAAAAATTCAGGGAAAATTGAAGATTCTATTCAAACTTGGTGACTATATTTAAAGCATATTACAAAAAAAAAAAAAAAAAAAGCCAATTCACTGTTCTCCATCATTTATGTAGGTAATTAAATTGTTAAATTTGTATTCTTTTCTATTGGTCTAGAAATATTGATACTCAGGAAATCAAGGTTGTGCAAAAGGAAGCGGGCGTCATTACTAGCGGTTGTTCTAATCACTATACTAGCCTTGGTAATGTTCATTCACCTATTTTTAAATCCTTCTATTTTCTAAAATATTGTTATTCTGCTTGCAGTTAAAGCTTTTTCAGTTAGACCTTTGTATTATCATTGACACTTTTTATTCAGAGTCTAGCAGATAGTGGATTCACTGAAGGTCCTCGAATGGTGGTTCTGATACAAGCTCATAATTTGTTATTTAGTGTTGACATTGTCTGTCTACATAAAAACTCTTTATTCAAATTCATTTTCTCAGAAGAATTACCTTGTACATGCCCGCTATGTACCTCTGACAGAGGGAGCTGTGTTAGTACGACTGAAGGGATCCAACTCGCTAAAGAACTAGGGGCTACCTACCTTGAACTACACAGCCTGGATGACTTCTATATAGGAAAATATTTTGGAGGAGTGGTAAGTGGAAATCCTTGTTACATAAATTAAAGCAATTTCTTAGGTTGGCTAAAGAGCTATTTTCCATAACATCAATAACTTTAGGTTTAGAAGCATGATTAGCCCTAATTGAGAAATAAGAGTAAGTGAAAAAGGTTTCAGTACCCTGATGGCACAGTGGTTAAGTGCTCAGCTGCTAACCAGAAGGTTGGCGGTTCGAATCCATTAGCCACTTCACAGGAGGAAGATGTGGTAGTCTGCTTCCATAAAGATTACAGCCTTGGAAACCCTATGGGGCAGTTCTACTCTGTCCTATAGGGGTGCTATCAGTTGGAATCGACTCTACAACAAAGGGTTTTTTTGTGTTTATTTTTTTTTGTTAGAAAAGGTTTTGTTACAGTAAAATTAAAATTTTATTTTTCTCTTCAAATGAAACATTTTCCATATTTTAATATGATATTTAGCAGTTTTCCATTTGGTCGTACGTTATTGATCTTTGTTTAGTATAGCAAAAGCATGTTTACTTACACAAACCTGTGGTGTCAGTTTTAATAATCACCTTTACTCAGCTGAAAGAGCCTGACAGCCTCAAGCAGTGGGCCCTGAAAGTTCCCCCTTTCCATCTACTACTTAAAAGAATAATTTTTCTTCCTGTATGTGTGCTTCAGCAAGATCTCCTATCTTCTGATCTTGTGGTAGCTAAAAAAATATCCAGAGAAACTATACAAATAATTTCTTGTTAGGTATGTGGAGAACCAGGATTTGCTTGCTGTGTTGCAGGAGCATTTACTGGGCCCTCCAGGCATTTTGAAGCTCATTTTAGCATATAGCACATACCCAAAAATATTAGGACTGCATGTTTCTTGGAGAATACAATGAGTTCATCATTTAAGCATTTACTGACTTTGGAACTATCTTTATAATTCTCCAAAACAGTAACTCTTCTCAACAGACATCTGATAAACATAAATAAGAGGTTTAATACAAAGTAAACCCTACCTTAAGCGGAGAACTTGGAAATTCTTCACTTATCTGTTCCCCTAGGCCTACGTTGAGTTCTCTTTCCAATTTGCCAGAATATTTGTTATATAAATTTGTGACTGAATATGTTGAAATGTTGATGTTTCTATAGATGACTATATAAATTTTGTTTATTCTGAAGTTATTCAACCCTGTAGGACAGAGTAGAACTGCCCCATAGGATTTCCAAGGCTGTAGTCTTTACCGAAGCAGACTGCCACATCTTTCTCTTGCAGTGCGGCTGGTGGGATTGAACCTCTGACTTTTTAGTTGGCAGCCGAGTGATAACTGTCCCACCAGGGCTCCTTCTATACAATATAAATGACTATTATTCACCCAGTAATGTAAAGAAGCATTAATAATACAGCATTCAGGAAGATATACTCCCAATATTGTTATTATCCATGACATTGAGAAACTTTTGCTTTATTTATAGTGATAAGCAGTGAGTAGAATGGGAGAGAGGGGGCAAAAATCTAATTTTCCTGTCAAACAGATTATACTATACTGACTTCTAAAAAGTCTTAATTTGGTCTAAGACTCCTACATTTCTCAAAAGTTCCCTGTGGAGTTGGGAGAAAAAGATTCTGGCATCATTTATTCAGAGCAGAGAGGTTGAGGCTGGTTCCTCTTGGGGCCTTGGGTCTCCTTGTTCCCTGTTGCAGGTTTCTGAACCTCAAATAAGGTTCACTCTTCCCACCTTCCAAATACAGTGAAACCTGTGAGAGCCAGAACTCGATGGGACTTCCTTGTTTTTCTGGGTCTCACAAGGTTTCTGTCTTTGACAGGGTACAATCTTACCACTTTTCTATTGCTCGTTTTAGTGGAGAATAGTTTAGTTTTCCTTTTTGGATGGGTTTCTGCCTTCGTAGGTTTTGGCTTTTGCAAGTTTTACTGTATCACTTTTTCTTCTTTCTCCCCATTGTTCTTTGTTCCTAAAGCCTAGTGTTGCAGTTAGGGTTGAGATATGATGAAGATTGAAGATGTGGTTAAGATTGGGAGAAAGACGTGGCTTTTTTTTTTTTTTTTCCTGAACTCAAGACTTGATGAGAATATGGAAATAAGATCCAAATGATCTCTTTATAGACATGAATAGCAAAGTATGACTGAGATCTTGTGTACGAGAAATAGTGGCATTTGCAAGAATCATGGATGGAGATGATAATGTTAAAGGGGAAATCTTATATTACAGAGTCAGGGATGAAGACCTGTGTAGCATTACCTTCAGACCTGGGCAAGAAGGGTATTACCTGCCCTCTCCCTGAGCTTTACAGAGTCCCATCTGGTTCTCCTCCAGTTGCACTTCTCCCCATAGGGCATGAGTCCATGGGTCCAAGGGGATATCCCACCTGGAGCTGGTACCCCACTTCTAGACCTGTTCTATCCAATATGGTAGCCACTAGCCACCAATTAAAATAAAATAAAATGTAATATCAGTTCCTCAGGTGTACTAGCCACATTTCAGGTGCTCAGTAGCCACATGTGGCTAGTGGCTACCGTGTTGGACAGTGTAGAGATTACAGAGCATTTCTATCTACACAGAACGTCCTGTTGGACAGTGTTGTGACCATACTCCAGAACCCCGGGCCCCAGAATTCTCTGACGACTTTGCCTTGAGTCTATTTCCAGGACCTGTGCAGGCCTCTTTTCTTGGTCTGTCCTACTGAAGGTGGATCGCACCACTGGTGTGTGCACCTTTAGACCTGAGAGGTGGCTAAGGGGTGATTGTGGGGAATGAGGGAGGAGAGTGGATGGAGTTTAGATGTGTGGGCTTGGATGTCTACCTGTGTGCACAAATCCCCTTGAGGTATAGGATAGAGCAGAGGATAAGAAGAGAAAGGGTGGCCCAGAATTAGGGACCAGCTCTCTCTATGCTGATGAAGCTCTAAGGAGTCTGAGAATTTAAATCTGAACCTAGCCTTCAGGGCTTTCATGATGATATATTTGTCAGAGCAGGAGGAAAGAATATATTTTATATAACAGTTTGTTTTCTTGATTTACAACTTTTAAATATTTATATATATGATATGCAGGCCTTCATTGTACTTTTGCCCCCGGCCTGACAATGCAGGCCAGGAGCAGTGTAAGTACATGTGGATGGTATTTTTAATTTGTAAATAAAGGACAGACTTCAAAGTATTTTGTTCAAGAAGCAGCAGAGCACATGTGAAGTTCCTTAGTTGATATGAGCATCTGCAGACAGAGCCAGTGCTGTTCCTGCCTTGAATCTGCTCCTGTATTAACCACTGTGGGTGCCCACTGAGATTATCACCAGCCACTCAGTGATAGTGCTTGGCTTTCTTGATTATTCAAGAGAATCAACAATTTCTTCTTGAATGGATAGTATAAACAAGGCACAGTCCTTTCCGCTTGATAAGTTTTTTTAAAAAATGTTTAAATGGACTTAAGCGTTCCACTTAAACGTTAACATGTTTAATAAACCATTTAATAAAACATTAATATGTTTAAATAAGAATTTAAAAGGATTTGTTAATGCATACATGTAGGTAATACTGATAGTAAAAACGTTTGGCACATGTCATTTGGTGTACAAATAATCATGTCAGATGCAATTTTGTCGGTGCTTTAATTAAAATTTGTTTTATGTTTTAGTTGGAGTATTTTATGATTCAAGCCTTAAATCAGAAGACAAGTGAAAAAATGAAGAAAAGGAAAATGAGCAACTCATTTCATGGAATTAGACCACCTCAGCTTGAACAACCAGGTGCATTTATAAGCTAATATCCAGACATTCAGTTGCTGTTTATTTATTTGTTTATTTATTATTCAAAAAATTCTTTTTCAGCTGCTATTTATTATAGATCATTTAGTCTTAGAGCAATTGCTCTCAAGTTTCAGTGTGCTCAGGAACCACCTGACATTCTGATTCAGTAGTTTGGGATGGCACCACACATCTGCTTTTTCAGTAAGCGTCCCAGCTGGTTCTGAAGCCGGTGGTTCACTAACCAGGTCTTGGGCCACACTTTGAGAAATATTGTGTTTAAAAACTTGAGCCTGTAGATTCTTAAAAATAATGTTGGGAGAGGAGGGGTGGCTGTTCTAGACTGAAGTTTAACACATAATAACAACCAGATGTAATGCATGTACTTTGATTGGATTCTGCTTCAGTTAAGAACATCTGTAAAAGTCATTCTTGGGATATTGGATAATATGTTAGTAGGGACTGGAAATTAGATAACACTATGAAATTATTGTTAATTTTCTTATGTCTGGTAATGGTATTGAGGTTGAATAGGAGGATGTCCTTATTCTTAGATGAATGTGAAAGTAATTAAAGGTAAAATATCCCAATGACTGCAAACTTACACACTTTTAAATGGTTCAGCAATGTGAATGTGTGTCTGTCTAGCTGGAGATAAGGCAGAAGTGACAAAATGTTATTAATTGTTAGTAATCTAAGTGGAGAATATATGTGTTCATTGTGTTATTCTTTCAACTTTTTTGAATGTTTAGAAATTTTCATAATAAAAGATTAAGGGAAGATGAAGTTCAAAATAAATAAAATTACATAAGCAGTTATCACCAATCATCAGTTACATATTACCTCAGAACTTTTTACAGTTTTGTGACACAAATAATCTGGATCAGTTTACTATTGGTATTGTTTTAAAAAGTAGGTACTTGATGAATTTTTATTGAATGAACAAATACATATTAAAAAATCAAGACAATATAAATTAGGATGGGAGGTCCACTCCGGGTTTAAAAACAAATGCAGATAAGTTGACCATAAATGATAGAGCCTTGGCTTTCACGTTCCTGGTGTGCAGAGTGAAAGGGGAGACTTGGTCTCATACGTAGCAAACAGTGGGACCTTAAATACCTTCTGGATTAGATAAATGGGTGGAGAATGATCAAATAAATAATGTAGATAGCTAGTTAGTTCTTTTTTTCTTATTAATCAAGAAGAGAAAACATACCAGTTTCTGAGAGAAAGCAAAGCAGTAAAAAAAATGTCACTTAGCTCTTCGAGAAATTTCTCATGTGGGTCTTCATCTAGTAATGAAGTAGATTGGACCTTCATAAGTGCCCTTCAGCAAATGCAGTCACAACTTTCACAAGGCTGTGTTCTGTACCATTCTGTAAAAGGAACTGGGCATAATGCTATCCATAATCTTAGGTAAAAGAGAAGCATATTATTTTACTAGGAAAAAAAAAAATACTAATGTTAGGATCAGAGTAAAATGGCAATGATAGTTTCAAACAATAGAGTTCAAAACTCTGAGTCCTGACTTTGAGAAGTTGCAAAATTTTAACACCTTAGCCCTCTACCTCCTCTTCAGACCCAGGAGGAGGATGACGACAGATATGAAGTTGTGTTCTTTGAAACTTACTCAATAATTGTTTTGGGTTTTTTAAATCAAGTAAAAGTAAAGAATGATGAGTGCTAAAATTCAGTATTTGGAGGAATATTTTATTTTAAAAACAAAAACCCAAACTCGTTGCTGTCGAGTCAATCCTGACTCATAGCGACCCTGTAGGACACAGTAGAACCGCCCATAGGGTTTCCAAGGCTGTAAGTCTTTATGGAAGCAGACTGCCACATCTTTCTCCTACTGAGTGGCTGGTGGGTTTGAACTGCTGACCCTTCAGTTATCAGCCAAGTGCTTAACCACTATACCACCATGGCTCCTTTATTTTATTTTAGGGACCCATAAATCATGAGAATTGTTATTACTCTTTTATGTCATTTGTAGCTTTTCCATTTGCACTATAAATTGTAAACACAGTATTCAAGTGTGTGTCTGTGTTGTGAAATCCTACAATACTTGCATAATTAGTTTATATGTGTTTGTAATTAGGTTAAATTACACAAAGTTGCTGTTTTTGTAGGTCAAAAATGGACAATTTCACATGGTTCAACATAATAACATTAAAACATACTATTTATTTTGTTGTACTTAAAACTCAAAATTATTGCAACTAAAGACCTAAAAGCAATTTATTATTTTTATTTTCTTTTTTGAAACAGAAAAAATGCCTGTCTTAAAGGCCGAAGCATCACATTATAATTCCGATTTAAATAACTTGCTGTTCTGCTGCCAGTGTGTGGATGTGGTATTTTACAACCCAGATTTAAGGGAAGTTGTAGAGGCCCACAAGATCGTTCTCTGTGCTGTGAGCCACGTTTTCATGCTGCTTTTCAATGTGAAGAGTCCCACTGACATTCAGGATTCCAGTATCATCCGGACTGCCCAGGATCTCTTTGCTATAAACAGAGACCCTGTCTTTCCAGGTGCTAGCCAGGCGTCTCCAGGCAACCCACCATTACGAGTCATTGTTAAGGACGTCCTCTTCTGCTCTTGTTTATCAGACATCCTGCGCTTCATTTATTCAGGTATTGTGTCAAATGGTTCTGGTTACTTACACTATCTCATGCTTTTGAAATGAGGTATGCCTGTAATGCTTGAGAGTGTTAGTTTTACAATCTTGTCTTCTTCCCACCATCAAGATGAAGATTGTACATGAAATATTATTTGCTTTATATATAGAAATTGGTCCAAGCTTTCTGTCTTTCTAGCAAGTTTATTTGCCTTATTGTTAAATCTCCTTGTAAAAACAATAATCTCTTTTCCTACTGAGCAGAAGTGTTAGTAGTTTATTTTTTTAAATACCCGAAATATGAAAACACAAGGATTTATTGTCCAGTTTAACTTTAAAGAAAAAACATTTCCAAGTGTACGTAACAAGTTTCTACATCTTAAAACCTAGCCATTCACTCTTGCGATTAACTCATAGATTTTGGAGAGAATCTAGGTTACAAATTAGCAGGGTCATTACATTCAGTTTAGGGACTGGAAATCAGTATCTAAACTTAGTCAGGCTGAGATCTGATTAACGTTGACCATGACTGTCCTGATCTCTGCTTTTTCCCCCTTACTGTGCCCTTATCTTTTGACGATTTAGTTTATCAATTATTTTTATCCTTGTTCTTTTAAAAACTCAGTAGCAACTCTATTCTAAAGAATAGTTTTATCTGAGTCATTTTAGCAAATCTAAGTGTCCCATAAAGAATGGAAAAGAATGGATATAAAATGATTTTTAAAGTAAGCATCTAAATATAAATTTTCCAAGGACTTCTCTCTTCTTTAATTTTCTTTTTCCACTTGGAATCGTGTACTGATGGACTATTAGGCCAAGGCCATTCCTGCTCTGGATTGTGTCTGAGGAGATGTTTATAATCTGTTTTTAGACTTTAGAGTTTAAAAATTGGGAACAGATGAGAAATTTATAAGGGTTTGCAAATAAAACAAATTTCATATAGGTAGGAAAGTTTTCGTATAGCATTCAGTTGAAATGATTGATGTTAATAAGAAGATTTTGCGTTTTTCATTTGATTTGTGGTTGTATAATTTTAAACGTTAAAATAAAAATTATTGTTTTGGCAAATACAGTTGCGGCATGCAGTTTTATATGGATTAAAAAATATATATTGAAGTAGAATGTAGTGGTAATTCTTAAATCCTTTGTTCAGTGAATATTGGTTTGGAAAAGACATAAATAACCACTCATGCATCGCACACACAGCACAGTGCCTTCAACGTGGCAGGTTCTCTGTAAGCTTCAGTTGAATTAATGAGTAAGCTCTAGTAGCTATGAATCATCTATGAATTAGGGCAGACTAGTTAAGGACTTTATTTAGTACCATAGATTTTTATGTTTAAACTTTGAATCTCACAGTTCAGAATTTATGACTAATTTTGAAAAACCAAAATGTTTAAATGTTAAAATAAAAAATATTTTAATAATATGTTTAAGGAATCATGAAGGAAGTGTATAGCTTTTCTTTTCAGTGATTTTACTGTTGAAATAATATGAATTATTCAGCAAGTTTCCCATAATATTCATTGAATACTTTCAAAGGCACGTGACCACTTTGAGGTTAGTCACAGCCTGTTTAGCATAGCAGCAATAAAAGAGCCACATGCATTCCCAGTGACTGAGCCTGCTTAACTTTCTCCTAGGGAGTGATTTTATTTAAATTGAAATATTAATACATGCAATTGGAAGGAAATACGTGCAGATGGAAAAAAGGAAAAGATAAGAAGAAAAGTTGTCCTCACACCCCAGACCTCCAATTCCCTTGTCCCCTCTCCATGTTTCCTATGTTCTTTATGTATTCACTCTAATAATCTCTGAAAGAGATTAATATAGTGGGGAAAGTTAATAAAAATGTAAGCCTTGGTAACTGCTGTTTCTTGGGAACCACAGGTAGTTTCCCATCCATGGCTGAAGCGTAAAGTGGGAGGTGATGGCTGGCAGGAGATGAGGCCCCTGGGAGCTGTTCCTACCATTCTTAGAGTTTTAAAAATCATCATATTGGGCTGTAGTAAGCTCATCTCTGGTCATGATGGGAGGATAGAATAGAGCAGGCAAGACAGGAGTTTGGTTAGGAGTTCTCCATCACCTGGGCAGTGCATCTTGGGAAGGCCAGCATTCTGACACAGGTGGTTGGAATTGGGGCTTGTCCCTCATCATGCTTCTCAAGCTTTAAAGTGCGTACAAATCACCTGGGGATCTTGTTAGTATGAACATTCTTATTCAGTAGGCCTGAGGCAGGGCCTGAGATTCTGCATTTCCAACAGCCTCCCAAGGGACCAGAGCGTTTGCTCTGGACCACAACAGGCAGCTAGAACACCTGCTCTTGGAATTCAGCCCAGAGGCCTAGAGAAGAACCCAGTTATCAGCCTTAGGGCACAAAGTCAAACTGGGTTCAGCTGCAAGGCTGACTGGATGCTGAGCTGTTCGGAGATTGGACTTTCAGTACTCTGTTGTATCCTCTGTCTGAAGTTGCGGAAAGTCAATGCTCAGTGGTTGGGTAGAAGCTAAGTGAGCCTGGGAATAGGGATTGGAGGCAGAGGAGCATGATGGCATGGAGAGCTGGCTGAGCTACAGATCATGAATCACTGCAGAGCACAGGCTTCTTAATCTGACACTGAGCTGTTGCATGTCTGCTCTGATCTCTCTGTATGTTACAGCCAAGGCGAGAGGTGGTGTCAGGTGTGAGCAGGGGCTCAGGTGATTGACCTGGGGCTGCAGGGAGACCCTGATGCTGGTTGAGGAGAAGGGAAAGTAACTGGTTCTTCAGGGTACCTGTTAATTTTTCTTTTATTATTTACAGATTATAACCCCTGACTCAAGCAAAATTTATGTATGTTATGTTTAAAAAGGTATTAAAGCTGTATTTGCACATTTTTGGGAAAATACAGAAACGATGAAAAGAGAAAAAAAAATTGCCCTAATTCCCACTGTCAGAAGAAAATGTCTAAGCATTTATTGGTGTTTTGCTTTACCCTCTAGTCTTCGTTTTTCTGTGACTGAGTTGCTGTTTTTTTAAAACATAGTTTTTAGCAAATCAAACAAAAATTTTAAACCTACATTTTTATCAGACACATCAAATAAAGGGGCTAGACCTGTGTTTTTTGTTGGACAGTTGAACAATTTTGAACAGACACAACTTTTAAGACACAGTTATGGAATGGTTTCCTCACAGAGGGACTGGCCTACCCCTGGGCCTACCATCGGGAACTGTTGAAGACAGGAGTCATTTGATTGTACTCGAGTTAGTTAGGCTGGTAACACAAATGTAAACCTCCATGACATGGTGTGCTCGGGAATATTTGCTCTGAGAAAACATGAGCTGAAGCACCACATTAAACCTATCTCCTGCCTTTTTTCCAGCGAATGTCTTAATTATTTTTAAAAGAACATACTTTTCTGCCTTTAAGAATTTGAAATTTTTTAATATATATTGTGCCACAATAGACATTTGGTCCTATATTTATGAACTGCCTGTTTGCTAGCCTGGTTAACACTTTCCAACTACACATAAGGCTTCAGTTTATTTTCCTATTCAAATTTCCGAGTAAGTAGACACAGTAGAGGTGTATCTGTTTGGTATGTATTAATTTTCTGTTGGCTAACAGCTAACACTGCATAATGTATAAGTACCTAATGATTAAACCCTAAAGGAGAAGGAGTAATGTGAAAAGTGAGGCCAGCACGGAGTAATCCGTAAATGGTGCACAATTGTAACATTCTTAAAATACTTGATGCAGCCTTTAGGCTTACAAATTATTGAGTCACATGGTCCCAAATAGTTATGAATTTAAATATTTGTAACCGCATCAAGAATTTAGCTATGAGTTCTTCCTGCCACAGATGGACCTTAGAAGTTTACATCAGTTATTGAAATGCTGGCAGAGCAGATGAATATGTGGAAAGGAGATTTTGTCTTCAGTTTGCGTAGTATTTCCCAGTACTTGAAATTATGCTGTGGCATGCTCCTTTCTGCACTGCATAAAAGCACAGCCTACTACACGCAACCATACCATGCTCTAGGAGTCTCAGTAAATTAAAAAAGTGCTCTGAGAAGTTAACTAAAGAAAATCCCAGTGCAATGATCATGGCTTTATTAGGATCTAAAAGTGTCAAAGATGACTTGATTAACATTTCTATAATTATGAAAACAGCCGAACCATTAGAGTGTCCTTGAGAACTAGTCTTACTTTCATTTTCATTTATTAGATTTTTCTGTCTTTTTTTCTAACAGATCAGTGGCCCCTGGGGATTTTTTTTTTTTCCCATTTCCAGTTGAGTTGATTCTGACTCATGTCGACTCCATGTTTTACACAGTAAAACTGCTTCATACGGTTTTCTTGGCTGTCATCTTATGGAAACAGATTGCTAGGCCTTCCACAGTTTCAGTGGGTGCGTTTGAACTGCCAAACTTTAGGTTAGTAGTTGAGTGCCAACCGTTTATGCCACCCAAGGACCTCTTGGGGATTTATCTGTTACTAATACCATATATTTTTGGAGCCCTGGTAGCACAGTGGTTAAGAACTCTGCTGCTAACCAAAAGGTTAGCAGTTTGAATCCACCAGCTGCTCCTTGGAAACCCTCTGGGGCAGTTCTACCCTGTCCTATAGGGTCGCTATGAGTTGGAGTTGACTCGATGGCAACGGGTTTGGTTTTTTGTTTGTTTTTTTTAGTACCATATGTTTATTTGCTGCTTTCTCTCAAATAATCTTCTAAATGCAGATATTGTATAGGTATTCTTTAGATAATATAATTTTACTTTTAAGAAACATCTATGTTCTCTTTAGCATGCATGAGAGTAGACAATCAAAAATACCTCACATCTGCTATTTGCTAGAGAGTCCCTGGGTAATGCAAACAGTTAACGTGCTTGGCTGCTAACCAAAAGGTTGCAGTTTGAGTCTACCCAGAGGCTTCTTGGAAGAAAGGCCTAGTGATCTGCTTCCGAAAAATCATCCACTGAAAATCCTGTGGAGCATAGTTCTACTCTGACACATATGGGGTTGCCATGAGTCAGAATTGACTCAATGGCAGCCGGTTTGGTTTTGGTTTACCGATTGCTGCATACCACCAACCCTGGATTTTGATAATGGATGAAATTTCTAAAGAGTAAGCAGGGGTCACCAGCACTCAATGCACATTAGAATTGTCGGGGAAATTTTTAAACAGTATTGATGCCTGAGCCCCAGCCCCAGAAATTCTAATTTTAATTAGTCTGTGGTGAGAACTCATCCCATGGTATTTTATAAGAGATCTTTCTGTGACTATAATGCACAACTAGGGTTGAGAATCCCTAGTATAGAGAAGTTGCTTAGAACCCACTGGACTCCAAGGAGTTCTTGTACTCCTGACGTTTTATATAGACTTTAATGGGTATGTATGTGTGTGAAATTTTCTGGAGAGGAGATCTGAAGAATTTATTAGATTCTAAAAAGAGTAGGTGACCCCAAAGTTTAAAAATTATTAGTGTAGGAAGAGGAAAACAAAAAGCATGGAGCTCTTCTAGACTGCATACCCTTGGACGTATGAGGTGAAAGGAGAAAGGTGAGCTGACAGTGAAGTCAGAAAAAGAGCTATCTTAGGTAGGAAGAAACAGTGGTGTGCTGGAACCACCCAGCACTGGCTTTGAGAGCCGATCTTGTTCATCTCTTCCCAATTCTGCATTCTGTGATGTCGTGCTGGCACCTTGAAATTGGCCGTGTTGGGAGTATTTACACCACAGAAATAGTAAAAAAGACACCTTTCCCTTCCTCTCAGCACACACTGACTAGAAGGGCATAGTCATCATGAAGGCCAGGTAAGAAGAAGTTAAGGATATGTGCGACCGCTAAGTGCTGCAGGGATCAGCGGTAATGAGGCCTGAGAGCTCTTGGGTTATCAGTCTGACACTTTAGAGTCCAGTTGATAGAGGCCAGCTGCAAGTGCCTGACCTTGGTTCAAAAAAAAAAGTTTATTATGTGCCCTCCCTACTCCCCAATATCCATGAAGGCGTCTAGCAAAGTGCTGGATACATGAAGGGAAGCATCAAAACAAATAGATTGGGAGCAGATAGAAAAGGATCTTGAATCAAGCAGAAAGGTGTAATGGCTTAAACCAGGGCTTCAAACCATTTCGTTTCTGTTCGACCTCCTGCTGAGAATTTGCATTTCCAGCCCAGATATACTGAATCAGAATGTACAGTTTAACAAGATCCCAGGTGATTCTGAGATGAGAATGTACAGTTTAACAAGATCCCCAGGTGACTCATATTTATACATAAGAAACACCTGGCGATCTTGTTAAAATGTAGATTCTGATTCAGTGTGTCTGGGGTAGAAATGCAAATTCTCAGCAGGGGCTGGAACTGGACAGAACGGATTTGAAGCCCTGGCTTAAAGTGATGCCACTAATTAATGGTAGAGACAGAACTAGAACCTGGGACGCCCAACTGTGCCCTCCCACACTATGTTGTTGTTGTTAGGTGTTCATGAGTCGGTTCCAACTCATAGCGACCCTGTGTACAACAGAATGAAACACTGCCCAGTCCTGCATAGTCCTCACAATTGTTTCTATATTTGAGCCCATTGTTGCAGCCACAGTGTCAATCCATCTCATTGAGGGTCTTCCTCTTTTTCACTGACCCCCTACCATGCTATACCTTTTTTAATTTTATTTTTAGGATTAGTGCTTTCTATAAGCCATGGAATAGATGGGGGTAATACAGTAAAACCTGTGAAAGCTAGAACATTTGTAAGGCAGAAACTTGTCAGAGAAGGAAAACGCAGGTATTTTCTACTGAAACAAGTGATAGAAAAATAATAAGACTGCACTCTGTCAAAGGTGGAAAACTTGTGAGACCCGGAAAAACAAGGCAGTTCCATCAAGTTCTGGCTGTCACAGGATTCACTGTATCTAGGAGTATCATGATCAGAATTATACTTTTGGAAACTTACCAGCACTGAGTACGTGGGACAGATTCAATGGTGGAAAAGACTAGAAGCTGGGAGGCTGGATAGGAGGCCACTGTTGGCTAAGCTAAAAGAGTACTTGGAGAAAATGTGAACTTCTGTTAACCATAGGAGTTTCATAAGACACAGAAAAAGGAGCTAGCAGAGTGAGAGAAGTAAAGTGAACCTAGGAAGAGATAGCTTTGAAGTGAGCTAGGGTGAATACAAGGACAGGTGGGACCAGGTGGAGTGATTTTGTTCCAATGATGTGATCGTGTAGGTCATCAGGAAATTATCTAGCTCCTTCAGGTTGGTTCTGTAGAGTTGGCTGTTGAGCATCCCAGTTTGACCTTGACAATGCATGAGACCTTCTGAATGTGTTCTATTCCTATTGTATATTCCTCTACCTAATAGTAGGCTTTGCCTTCCATGATTCTAAAAAAACCAAACCCATTGCTGTCGAGACTCATAGTGACCCTATAGGACAGAGTAGAACTGTCCCATAGGGTTTCCAAGGAGCAACTGGTGGATTCGAACTGCCAACCTTTTGGTTAGCAGCTGAGCTCTTAACCACTGCACCATCAGGGCTCCCTTCCATGATTAGTGTGACTTACTTCAGCCTTGGAAAAGACCACATCTGCATTCTTATCAAGGGCAAGTAAATAATTTGGGCATTGGGCCACTTGCAATGCTAGCTCCTTTTCTGGCCATTGCTGTTATCACCCTGTACCTATTACAGAGAGGTGGCGGCTGTTTAGGGAGCAAGACTTCATGTTTTGAGAAATAATTTAGGGGAAGACAAACTGATTTTTTGAAAATGAGTGCTGCTGAAATTTTTTTTAGCTTAATTACAAGGATATATATTTAGTAGAGAAAAAGTAAAAGAAAATACTGGGAAAAAAAGGAACACTGATATCTAATAAAGCTTTATTTTTCTTACCTACTGCTTAACGGTTAGAAAAATTCAACATATGTTAATTTGTTTACAGGTGCTTTTCAATGGGAAGAATTGGAAGAAGATATCAGGAAGAAGTTGAAAGATTCTGGGGATGTTTCAAATGTAATTGAGAAAGTTAAATGCATTTTAAAAACACCAGGAAAGGTAAACTAGTTAATTATAAATTATTTTACTTTGGCTTTCTCTGAATTATAACTGATATGCTATGATGAATATAATATTGAGTTATGAGAAGAGTCAAATAATATATAACTATAATTTCCTAAAGTATATTTTGCCATTTAAATATATTAAGCATAGACATGTTATTTCCCACTTAGATTGTAATTCATGTAAGAATTAAAATATGTATGAGTTATATCTTTAAAACGTTCATTTATGGATCCTGTACTCTGAGACATTCTCCTGGAGCTCCAAGAATACACAATCTATGCCAAGAATGAAAGGCTGTTTAATTTGTATAGTTAAAGTTAACCTTATTGGAGAGGATGCTTTCTCACTTCTCCAGATAGTTTCCAAATAGTTTTCAGGAGCAAGAACAGTTTATATGTGTCCTTTTGTTTTAGAGTTTGGGAAGTGATGTATTTAACTAGGTGGACAGTTAAGGCCTTTTCTCTCATCAACCTTCAGAGTTATATATTAGATTCAAAGGTTATAAAAAATATGTATATATGGTCATAAACTTCTGCACATTAAAATGCTAGTAACTTAGACTATAGTTTTGTAAAGGCTTTCAAAGTAGGTTTGTTAAACTGTAAGACAACTGCATTACACAGTTTAGCCAGTGTATTCGTATTTCAGAGTCTGTGATAAACAAATTGGCTACAGTTATCTAGAAGGTAAGTTGTGTGCCATGCTTAATTAGCAGAATATAAGCTTACAGTAAATGTAAACAAAATGATTATTCCTTTAAGTTTTTACAGGTGATTTTTGTCAGTTCTGGAGCCCTGGTGACACAGTGGTTAAGAGCTTGGCTGCTAACAAAAGGTTGGCAGTTCTAACCCACCAGCCTCTCCTTGGAAACCCTGCGGGGCAGTTCTACCCTGTCCTATAGGGTCGTTATGAGTTGGAATCGACTTAATGGCAACAGGTTTTTTGGTTTGTCAGTTCTACATAAGTTCTTAACATTTTGAAGTTGATATTTTAAAAATGTAAAATATGCTAGGTTTTCATGAAGATGCCTGACTATTCTTTAATTGAAGAAAACTTTTTTTTTTTTTCAAACAAAGTAACAGGGAGTGAAGGGGGAAGACCTTTCTTGCTTCAGTGACACATTGAAGCAGGTATACAGAGGTTGTCCTTTTACAGGTATATGACAGAGTGGTAGTTCTCCTGCACTTTTATTCAACTAAATAATCCTTTTGTTGAAATATGCACATACACCTATATTCTGTTTTTCAGAGTTCTCTAGATTAACTTGTTTATCAATCAGTAAAAATGTTTATCTGTGTTCAAACTTTTACTCTCTCATTTTTTTTTTAACTCAAGGCATAGGTGACAAGGTAATCTGTTTATACAGATTCATAATCTTTATATATATATATATTCATACATAACAGACAGCTACATAATATTCATGATATACAAATTAATGATGTTTATATAAATGGTAAGGAGCCCTGGTGGTACAGTGGTTAAGTGCTCGGCTGTTAACCGAAAGGTCGACAGTTTGAACCCACCAGCTGCTCCGTGGGAGAAAGATGTGGCAGTTTGCTTCTATAAAGATTTACAGCCTTGGAAGCCCTATGGGTGTGTTCTACTCTGTCCTATAGGGTCTCTATGAATTGTAATAGACTTGACAGCAATGGATGTATGAATGGTAATGTCTGAAGTGTTATTTCTTGTTCTGAATCTGGCTGGGCTTTTCCTTGGATCTGATTCTGAATACATTCCTTTAAGTACTGAAAATAAAATGAATTCTTGTTGAGAAAGGGGGTCTCTGAGGGTTATATGACTCCATGATATTGAACTAAATTCCCTCCTTTGCACAGGAGGAGAGACGAGTTCTTCCACTCCTTGCTATGCTTTCCTGGGGTGAGGGCCTCTCTAATTCACTGAGGGATGTAAAGCAGAATTGGAAATCAGGAAATGTACATTTAAGTTGTGAGTTGGCAGTGGATGATCTCTGTTGCTCTGAGCAAGTCAATAAATTTCACAGGGCTTTCTATAAAATAAGGAATACACTGGATAATTTGTAAAGCCCCTGCTAGGTCTCAGATTCTGTGATGCTTTTTGGCTATTATTCTTATGTGTGGCAGTCACCTGATCCTATCCCCCAATACCATCAATATGTATCATGGCTTACTGTGCATAGGATCTGACGATGTACTTAATAGGACCAGGACTTACATGAGCCTGTTTTACTTCTGTCTTGCTCATGGATACTCTTCTGGGGTGTGTTTTCTTCTTCTTTATGAGGAGGGATAGCACCATTTTTCCCCCTCACCAAAGTCATACAACTTTACTCTGTGTCCACAGTGGATTAATCCAGAGTGGAGAGTAGGCATCATTTCTTCTTCTTATTGCTAAAGTTGTATGATAGATTATTTCTTAGACAAAGTGTTCTGAGTTCCATAGCTAGCCATACAGGCACTCAGGGTTCTGACTGGAGCTGAGGTTCAAAGATTCACCAAGGGGTTTGGGTGAAGGGTGAGGGAAGGGGGACTGGCCCTCGACTTCTGGGGTTGAAACAAAGGGATTTCTGAAAAGACAGCAACAGGGAATGAAAGTGGGACTGAAGACCACAGAAAGGACAAACAAAGCACCAAGCTCTGAATGTGGTGCAGAGGAGGGATGGAGACCACCAGCTCAGACAGAGACACTGTTACTGGAGGCTGCCAGCCAGAGTGAGCAGATGTGAGCAGACAGATAGCTGTCATCATGGGAAGTGATTTTCTAAAGTTCCAGGTAAGACATCCAGGCTTCCTTTTATAGATGCTAGCATTCTCTATTATGGGTGGGAAAGATATTTAGGGTTATAATATTGTAGATAAAAATGGAGATGAACCAATTCATCACTGTCAGGTATTTTTTATGTTCATTCCTTTAGGAGAAAATACTGAGCTAGTTAGCAGTAGCAGGACATGGTGTGATAGGGAAAAAAATAATAAAAATTTGTATGTAATTCTCTTAATTACAAATTAAATGCTTGTATATGTCCTTTCTTCATAAGTGACCAAAATAGCAGATTACCTGTGAAAACATATTTTACTAGACATTCATATGAGGTTGGACTACTGTGGTCTGTTTCCCAAATACCAGAGACCTGTGGGGATTCTGGCCTATCCAGCATATCAGCTATAGCGTTCATTTTTCACATAGCCAATTCATTTACTACCATGAATGCTGAATAGTATAGTGTTACTTATTGGCAGGTGGTGGATGTCCTTCTTGAGGGTAAGTGCCCATGAATGCTATGATCAGAGTTGTCATAGAGTAGGTAATCATTATTTCTTTAGAAATATAGCACAGTTTTCCTGATTGTGTCATCAGCTCATAGCAAAAAACCAAACCATAGCCTTCGAGTCAATTCTGACTCATAGCTACCCTATAGAACCGAGTAGAACTGTCCCATAGGGTTTCCAAGGAGTAGCTGGTGGATTCGAACTGCCAACCTTTTGATTAGCAGCTATAGCTCTTAACCACTGTGCCAGGCAGCTCATATATATTTTTAAAGCATATTGTACAACACTTCCGCTTGTCTTTTTTTTTTTTTTTTTTAACTTACAGATTAACTGCCTAAGGAATTGCAAAACCTATCAAGCCAGAAAACCTCTGTGGTTTTATAACACTTCCCTCAAGTTTTTCCTTAATAAACCTATGCTTGCTGATGTTGTCTTCGAAATACAAGGTACGATTCAACTTTTACAAAGTCTTCTACTCAGTCTTATTTCTTGTTTTGTTTCCTTACCTTCTATTTAAGCTTTGACTACTTTGAGGGAAAGAAGGATTATTCTCTATTGCAGTACGTAGGTTAACAGTGCCTGAATTTCAACAAAATTTTCCAGGGAAATGAAAAGAGATTATTTATTTTCCTTAGGTTTTTTTTTTCTTTACCATGTGCTTCATTAACTTTGAAGGACCAGCAATGGCTGGGGTCATCTGTAATAACGTCATTATACATTTTGTTTGTTTATTTCTTTAAGATCCCAGTTTTTTGATTCATCTGAAGCCATCCCCCTTAAAATCATGTTGTTATTGTTGGATGCCATTGAGTTATTTTTGACTCGTATTGACCCCATGTGACAGAGTAGAACTACCCCATAGGGTTTTCTAGGAGGTAATCAGATTGCCAGGTCTTTCTCCCATGGACCCACTGATGGGTTTGAACCGCTGACCTTTCGGTTAGCAGCCAAGCACTTAACTGTTAGCGCCACTGGGGCTCCTTAAAGTCATGTTACCTTTAGCTTATTTTATTCAGCTCTCTTCCTTTTTATCTGAGCAAAAGGAACTAAGCATGGGTTGAGGGTCCTGCCTGGCCTACATCAGGTCTACATGCTGCTCCATTTATTCCTTATAACACTCTGACAATTGTTATCACCACAGCAACTGAGAGCTGCTGGTTATCTATGTGGGTGAGTAATGCTACCTAATTTTAATGAAGATGAGCTGTTTAATGCCCATTACTGATTATTCTCTTCGATAATTTTGTCACTTTAGTATGTTAAAAGCATAACCTTAAAAATGAATTGTCAGATACCTTCGATTATGCAAGAAGGTTACAAGGAGTTGTGCCCAAACTAATTGAGTAGAGCTTCAGGTGGGCTATTACTAAGAGGCAAATGTAATTTCTGATTTTATGGTAGAAATGTATGGCAGCTAAACTAGCCATTTACTTTTTCAAATTTCAACCTAGAAAGATTCCTTTTGCTTTTAACCTTGGTCACTTGCCAAGACAAACAGTGAATTGGGAACTTCCCAGAATGCCATCTGCCAAGCTGCAGTCAGCACTGTATGCAGTGTGAGCCTTGGACTCTGAGAATGGGACAATAAGAATGACCTTGATATACATCAAAATGATTTGAAGGGAAAAAAAAGCTACAGGAGAACACAGACTTTATGTAATCTTTTCATCATTTTAAGGAAACCTAAAACTGACTCTGATTTCGTCCCTAATATTTTCACACCCTGATTTATTAGTTGCCAAAATAAAAACCCAGATTGTGTTTATCTAAAGCCAGCTCTGGTAAATTATTCATTAGAGGTAGAACAAGCCTTGTTAGGGATAAAGCTCCTGGTTATTACAGAATCCCTTCATTAGCTTCTAGGAGAAAAGTCTCTGTTGATGAAGGTCTTTACTAAAAATGGTATACGGTATCCATACAAGAAAAATAAGAGTGATAGATAATTTTGTACAGGTCATTTAATAAGTTCACATTCCAACAGTAAAAGACCACGTCCATGTTGAGAATAAATATGACTGGTAAATAAAAGACATCTTTCAAAAAATTAATCTGGAAAAAAAAGTACGGTTTAGAAAGATGGGATAATAGTTTCTATATTCTGAACAGAAGGTGACAGATGCCACAGGAGATGGCTGAATTCTGTTTTTCAGATGACTTCCTGGGTGCGCTGTCGTCTGTCCTTTGGCCACACTGGTTTTTAGGGTTGATTGGATTCATATTGAGCAGGCTGAAACAGGTGGGGGAGTAGGGTGGGGACACAGCTTTCCAGTGACTGTTTGACAATCTAAAAAAACCAAACCATTTACCATCAAGTTGATTCTGATTCATGGTGACCCCATGTGTTTCCGAGTGGAACTATGCTCCATAGAGTTTTCAGTGGCTGTGATCTTTTGGAAGCAGATCACCAGGCTTTCTTCAGAGGTTCCTTAGGTGGATTCAGACCGCCAACCTTTTGGTTGGTACCCAAGCGCTTAACTGTCTGCGCCACCCAGGACACCATATGACAATCTAGGGCATTGTTTTTCATAACCAGGAAAAAATTAGGAATCTGAACATTATATGGTGTAGTTTGTAGTGGTGTTTCATCTGGGTCATGGTGAGTTCTGATGAATGTCTTCTACTCTATAATAGACTATAGTGTGTTTATTAATTAGATGGAGCATCTCTCACCTTCCTGGATGATGCTAAGAATAAACACTGTCAGCTACTGGTTCTTTGGCCTAGGCTGACAAATCTCTTACCTTTTACCCAGTATTTTCTAGCAGTAAGGTACAATGTAATCGATCAAGTATTCACTACGTAAATCATAATCATGTTCGAGTCCTCTATCTGCCTTTTTACCTAAGCCACCTTGATTGGAGATTTAGGAATTCCAAACTCCTCATCATCACTTAGAGTCAGATTCTTGGGTTATTCTTCAGAAGATTAATCTCATCCTTTGTGTATTTTAGAAGTTTAACTGTGAGAGGGAAGCCAAAGTCACTGATCTCAGAAGGAAACTTTTAATGACAGCTAAAGAAAGAATCTGTATCTTCACATCTCTTGTTCCCTACAGTCCCTTAAACGGTGACTTGCCTTAATTAATGATTATTGTTATTGAGTTAATGATCCTGAACTTGAGAATCAACAACTCACACACAAATGCTCTCCTAAAAGACTTTGCGTTATAATAAAATGAGAGAGGGTTGTCTTTCTGCCAGGGATGTTAATAATGTAGTAAAGTTTGAGAGCAGCATTTCTCAAGGGAATTGAATAGAAATGTGTGACCCTACTGTAGGTTAATGAATGTAGGGATTGTCTCTCATCTCCACCGTTTATCTCTTATTGGGCTATTACATACTGCCAGATTTGCTTAAAATTGGCATTGGAGGCACTAACAGGTCACTATCAGTCAAAATCCATTCAATGGCATACAACAATGATTTGTATAAGAGGCATTAACATTAACACCAAACATTATGTTAGTGTAACCTACTGAAAAGATTTTCAAAGGGAATGTGCAATACATGAAGATACATATTAAGAGAAAAGAGATAAGCAGGGATGCGGAGAATCCTTTCTACTCAGTCTCTTGCTGTCCCTTCATTATTCCACCTATGACCCTTTTGCAGGCACCTGTTCACACTCCGGCACTATGAAGAGGGCTGCGGTTAAGAAGAACTAGTTGTGTGCCTGTACCAGTGACTAGCAGCAGCTGCAGGGTGCTCTTTGTAGCTTCCCTGGCTCAAAAACAAAGGCCCTGCAGGGAGCTGGGGGCAGAGAGAAGCAGGAACAGGGTGGAAGCAGGGTCCAGCACCAGCTTCTCTGCCATCAGTGGGAGGAGCTGGCAAGCCTAGTTTCTGCAGTGTGTGGGGGGAATTTAACAGGCTTCAAGAATCTATAGATAGACAACAATCAGAAATCCAGAAGATTAATAATAAAAATTCAGAATTAGACAACTCAGTAGAAAATCATAGGAGCAAAATTGAGGCAGTGGAAGT